CCGCAGGCGAGGGCGCGCGCCTCCAGCCGCCGGCTCCGCGCGCGTGCGGCGCGACGCTTCAAAGGCGCGAGAGTTACATTCCCAACGAGTTGCTTTGGGAGGGGGGGGGACCTTCGGGCCACCAGAGGATGTTTCCAGTACGCAGTGCAAAGAACGGCACGCTTATCAGGAGCCCCTAAAATCCGTTAGATTGAGCCATTTGTCACTTGATGGGCGACCTCGCTTGTTGACAAATACACGGCCCTGCAAACCCACTCAATCCCCAGAAGCCGCGGAGAACTAACACGGTCAGGCACTCCCCGCCCCTCAGCGCTCAGTATTTCACGTCTCTCCGCGTCTTTTTTCTTCTCTTTACTTTCCGTTTGGGATTTATATATGTACTTGTGCATTATTGATAAGGAAGAGAACTAGAAATGACCGTCACAAGTTACCACTCATTTCTACTTAGGGGAGTTGCTAAAAGTTTCAAACAAAAGTTTAGCCGTTCACTTTTCCCGAAGTAAATCCTTGCCTTGTGAGAAAACAAACTTTCAAAGCCCCTCACCTTCACGTCCTTCTAAGTTTTCCGAAGCAGCCTTGGTAATAACTACAGTGTCGTCGGCATCAGCTTGAGCACCTTGATTAACAGGAATTCCGGCGTCCGGGTCACCTGCAGTTTCCCTGCTGCTGTCGCAAACCATTTCAGCACCATGGTCAACGAATATTTGGTGAGGTTGGCAGCTGGGTTCTTGGGATGTTGAAGCTACTGTGGAATTGTTTTCCGAGAAATTGACGGTCTCCTCCTCAGAGCGCTCCATGATCCACACTACATTGGGGGCTGGTGTAAAATGGCTTCCTTCCAGTTAGTCATGTGATCTGAAAGTTTCCAGAACTTTCGTAAAACCATTTTAAAAAGTATCTTTTTTAAACGGAAGCCGAATGGCACACTCTCATAATCCCAGCACTTGAGAGGCTGAAGCGGGAGGATTGCTGTGAGTTCAACGACAGCCTGAACTACATGGCGAGACCTTGTCTCCGAGAGAGAGAGAGAGAGAGAGAGAGAGAGAGAGAGAGAGAGAGAGAGAGAGAGAGAGAGAGAGAGACTCTTAGAGACCTAGTGTGTGTTAAAGATGGTACCCATAAAGTTGCTAACGCCTAGCACTCGTCTAAACTTAATTGTAAGGAGTGGTTTTGAAAACCTAATTATTGCACAATCTTTTCCTTTGGATACGTGATCTTTTTCTTTCAGTTAAACTAGGATTATCAGAGCTTCAGATCTAGAAAAAAAACGTCTGGCTCTCTCTTTTTCTTTTTCTCTTTCTTCTTTCTTGCTTTCTCTTTTTGTTTTGCAGTAGTGGGGATTGAACCAAACACCTTCTCAGTAAGATACAACTCAAGACCACTTTATTTTATTTTACTTTGCTTTCTTTTCTTTTCTTTTCTTTTCTTTTCTTTTACTTTGCTTTCTTTTCTTTTCTTTTCTTTTCTTTTATTTGAGACAGGGTCTCATTAAGTTGCTAAGTTCCCTGGGCTGGGCTTGAAATTGTGATCCTCCTGCCTCATCCTCTCAGAGTGCAGGGGTATGATGGTTGCAGCACCACACCTGGCTTGTCCCTTTTTTAATCCATCCACTGACCTTTATTTTGGTATTATGCCACACAGCTACACTTAGGTTTGTAACACAAAATAAACCAAAATACCAGTTGTACATTTACAGTACAATATTTTTACAGTAGAATATTCTTGAAGACTTTATTTTTTTACTTTACATTATTTTATTTTATTTATTTATTTTAAAAATTAAAAAACAACAAAACAATGAAGACAAAATCAAAACAACACAAAACCACAAAAATGGTACATGACCTCAAAACAAAATGATAGGAATTTACAGTGGTTGCTACATTACATACTGTTATCTTCAACGAAGTTGCTCAGTCCACCAGACATAAGAATGTAAGATTGATCAAACAATCAAAGAGAGTAACAAGTAATAAAAAAAAAATTGGAAGTGATGCAGCCAGGCTGAGTTACTATTAAGTGACTCCTTAAAAAAAAAAAAAAGAAAAAAAAAGAACTCTACCAACTTGTATGGTGACTTTTTTTATTCTTTTTAAAAAAAGAGTCACTTAATAGTAACTCAGCCTGGCATGGTGGTGCATGCCTGTAATCCCAGCACTTGGGAGGCTGAGGCAGAAGAATCACCATGAGTTCAAGACCACCTTGGGCTACACACAGAGTTCAAGGTCAGCATGAACTACATAGCAAGACTCTGTCTCAATAAAAAAATAGTAAGTCAAAGGAAAATTCTATTTTGTATAACTGAAATAGCTAATTGTCTTGAATCATATGGACGATGTGAATGATGTGACTTTGTGGTGGCTGTTCGGAGGCTCAAAACCAAATCTGCAGCCCACCTCTAACACCTATGAACTTCACTGAGATATACTGATCTTTTTCTGTTGTCTTACATAATTACAATCTTTCCAAATTTCCTAATTAATTTTATCCTGCGCAGTAAATTACACTGAATGCTATTGAAAACCCTTTTTTAAGAAAACAAATATAAATGGTAAATAAATGAAAATAGTGCTCTGACACAAGTGCCTCAGGCAGCATCCCTGAAGAGGGGTGAGGGAAGCATAGTAATGGCTCCCTTATAGTCAATTATCCAGCCAATATTGAGAACTTAACGTGCTAGGCTTTATTTGAATCATTTCATAAATGTTTAAAGTATGATGTTTTGAGAAAATGAGGTAAAAATTACTCAGTAAATTTACACTTAGAGATACACACGCACACACATGATTTCTGATTATTACTATGTTGTCTAGCCTCTTTAAAAAGGGGGAATGAAAAGTGAAACAAAGTAAAAGATAATTATGATTTCAAAAAAAGAATTATGATTTCTTTTGAAGTATTACAATGTATATATCTAAAAACTGTCCTGTTGTCAGATACACAGAGAATGTATTTTTCGTTGTGTTCTATCATGTTGCGGTTTCTTTCTAATAAGTTCTACATCCATTAACTCAAGTAACTTTGTGTGGTTATTTCTTTTAACTCTTATAATTGCCAGGTACGTTTAGTATGATTATAATCCTTTTTGTTGAATTTTAAACTAGTTAAATGAGACTTTTTTTTTCTGGAACCGGGAATTGAACTCAGAACCTTGCGCTTGCCACGCAGGCACTTATGCCACTGAGCTAAATCCCTGGCCCTGAGACTTAAAAAGGGTAATTAACTCATTCAGTGTCACACACCTAGTAAATGACAGAGGCAATATTTACTTTAAAGCCCAGGTCTATTTGCCTCTTAATACTGCCTATGTCTACATACTCAGATCTTTCATGCACAATTGGCCGTGCAGTTGCCCTTAATTGTCTCCTAACCCCAGCCCCTGGCAACTTCTACTTTCTGTGTCTATGAATTTGCCTATTCCAGGTACCTCATATAGGTGATACCATGCAGTATTTGTCCTTTTGTGTCTGGCTTCACTCACCTACCATAATGTTCTCAAAGTTCATCCATGCTATAGCATGAATTAGAATTTCATTCCTTTAAAAGGCTACGTAATATTCTGTATAGATATACTACATTGTTTATCCATTCAACTGTCAATGGATATTCGTGGTTTACATTTTGCTATTGTGAATGGTGCTAAGAATATTAGTGTAAAAATATCTGTTTGGCTCCCTGCTTGCAATTCTTTGGGGTATATACATAGAAGTGGACTGGATGGATCATATGTTAGTTCCATGTTTACCTTTCTGAGGAACCACCAAACTGTTTTCAGTAGTGACTGTGCCATTTTCCATTCCCACCAACACTAAAAAATTCACATCCCAACACTTGTTATTTTCCCTATTTTGTAAAATAATAGCTATTCTAATGGATATACAGAGGTTTCTCTTTTTTTCATTTTTGTTTTAGTTTTTGGTTTTGGTTTTGCTTTTTTTGTTGTTGTTCTTTTGTTTTGTTTTGTATTGGAGACAAGGTCTCTCTATGCTGTTCAGGCTGGCCTAGAATTCACTGTGTAGCCTGGCGGGCCTTGAACCCGCAGCAGGTGCTGGGATTACAGGCATGCACCACCACGCCTGGCCTGTGGAGATTTCATATTGTGGTTTTGACTCATATGTCCCTAGTATCCAGTGATGTTAATCATCTTTTCATGCACCAACTGGCCTTTTGTCTACAGTAGTCCCCTCATATCTGAAATATTGATTTCCAAGGTTTCAGTAATCCCCCAATAACAAGCCAAAGATATTAAGTGGAAAACTCCAGAAATAAGCAATTCATACATTTAAATTGTGTGCTATTCTGAGTAGCATGATGAAATCTCATACAGCTCTGCTCAGCCTGAAATTTGAATCATCTCTTCATCCAGTATATCTATGCTATATAAACTACCCACCCACTGGTCGCTTAGTGTCCACCTTGATTTATCAGATCAGCTGTTGTGATAGCACAGTGTTCAAGTAACCTTTATTTTTCAAGGTTCAGCCATTCAAATAACCTTTATATTTGCATGTAAATAAACCTTTATTTTACTTAAGGATATCCCCAAAGAATGAGTAGTTATGTTGACCATTTTATCATTAGTTTTATTAAACTCTTCCTTTGCCTAAATGATAACTTAAAGTTTATGGTAGGTATGTATAGGAAAAACATTATAGAGTTTGGTACAATCTGTAGTTTTAGGTATTCTTTGGTGGTCTTGGAATGTATATCCTTCAGAGGACCACTGTTTCTTCTTTGAAGAAATGTCTATTCAAGTGCTTTGCACATTTTTTTATTAGGTTACTTGGTTTTTACTTTCTGTTGAGTTCAGCACATATTCTGATACTAAACCCTTATCAGCAGTATGTTTTGCAAATATTTTCTCCCTTTCTGTGGGCTGTCTTTTCACTCTTTTGATGCTGTCCTTTGCTTTCATTTTGATGAAATCCAATTTATCCACTTTTTCTTTTGTTTCTCATGATTTTGGTATAATATCCAAGAAATCATTACTAAATCCAATGTCTCAAAGCTTTCTCTGTATTTTTATTTAAGTATTATATAGTTTTAGGTCTTATATTTACATCTTTAACTCATTTTGAGTTAATTTTTGTTTATATGGTAGTGTAGGGTAAATGTCCAACTTCATTCTTTTCTGTGTGGATATTTTATCTAGTTTTCCCAACACCATTTTTTTTTTTTGTACTGGGAATCGAACTCACTACTTCGTTCTTCCCAGGCAGGTGTTGTGCCACTGAGCTATATCCCTAGCCCTCCAACACCATTTGTTAAAGAATTGGTCCTTGACAGGCATGATGGTGCAAGCCCGTAATTGCAGCACCCTGGAGGCTGATGCAGGAGGACTGCCATGAGTTGGAGGCCAGCCTGAACTACATAGCAAGACCCTGTCTCAAAAAACAAACAAAGTTGGTCCTTTCACCACTGAATGGTCTTGACATACCTTGTGGAAAATTAATTGACCGTATGAGCAAGGTTGTATTCCTGGGCTCTCTATTCCATTCTATTGATCTATATGTCTTTCCACATTGTTTTGATTACCACAGCCTTGTACTAAGTTCTGTGATCTCACTTTCATTGTATTTTTAAACCGGATGTGGTGGTGGAAATGCCTGTAATCCTAGCACTCAGGAGGCGGAGGCAAGAGGATCGTTGCAAGTCCGAGACCAGCCTGGGCTACAAAGTGAGCTCAAGGCCAGGCTGAACTGCATAGTGAGACCCTGTCTCAAAAAGACAAAAAGACCAGAAAAAAAACCCGTTGCATTTTTAAATTTTATTTTTAATTGACAAATAACTGTATATATT